AAAAAAAAAAAAAAAAAAAAAAAGTGCGCCTTAAGCACTGTGCATTATTTTTGGAAAATATGCCAGGTTAATAATGCAAAATGCAGTCTTAATAACTGCTTACATAAATGACAGAAAGGGGGAAAAAACTTGGAGGGCTGCCTGCTGCGATACCCCTTTTGAAGGACCACCCCCACCCCTGCAAATACCATCTAAAATTACTTTCCTCCCCACCCAAAGGTAAAGCAAACAAAAACGAGCCACCTGAAGGGTGAGTGCACGCTAGGAACTGCTGTGGCTTTTAGCACAGCCGCCAATGCTCCATTACAGGTCACTGTTTGCTAGGGTGGCCATCATAGAGGACATTCCGGTTTTCTGCTGCTCTGTCCTCTCTTGATATGAAACCCAACGCCTTTATGTCCTCTATTTTTCTCTTCAAGAGAATTATTAACCTGGCATGTTTTCCAAAGATAACAGTGCTTGAGACACTTTTTTTTCCCCTCTCTTCAAGAGAAAAATAGAGGACATAAAGGTATTTGGTTTTGTATCAACAGAGGACAACCGGACCATCCTCTGTGATGCCCACCCTATTATTTGCTCCAGAGCACCCCATGGCTAAGCTCCCCCTACCCTTACCCCTCCATGCCGTGCTAATCCCCTCCAGAGTACAAGGAGGGTTTGGCAGTCCTATGTCCAGTTTAGATGAAGGGTGTATGGGCCGGCTTGGAGAGGGCTGGTCCTGCCTCAGGCTGCGGGGTTGAACTAGACACCCTGTGGAGGTCCATGTCAGACTCTCTGAGGTGGCGAGGCTTGGGTGATGCCCCAGGAAGGCGGGTGACGGTGGCAGGAGGCAGCAGAGAGCTGCCCAGAGAGCAGCAGCTGGCGGTTCTGCGCCCTCTGCCATGTGAGCCGAGCCCGCCACCAATGCAGACTTGAGTGGGGGGGGAAAGTTATGAATGAAAACAAGGGCTGTTTCCCCCCCTTACCCTTTTGCAGGAGGAGGGGAAAGAGGCCGCGAGGTTCCTATTACCTCAGGAGGGCGGACTTTCCAGCATTTAAAGCAGCAGCTCCCTCCCCGGCCCTCCCCTCCCTCCAGCACAGCTCCTCAAGGCTTGGGCGTGCTCCTCCGTGCGCGCCGGGGATTTCCCCCCCACCCCTCCGCCCCTCGCGTGCTTTCCAGGCGAGGAAAAGAGGGGGAATCTCGCTCCTCATCTCCCCAGCCTGGGGAGGGAGGGGAGCTTTCCACCTGCCCCACATCCCCTCTTCTAAGGCTGGGGGGGGGGCTGCAACTGGCGCCCAAATGCACCCCCCCCACACACACACACACGCGCGCAGAGGGACACGCCTCATGCAGCCAAGGGAGGCAAAGCGGAGCAGCTGCCACCCCCATCCCCCGGGGCACCTGCAGCCCTCTCCGTGGCTGAGCCAGCCCGCGCACGGCGGCTCCCGCCGAGGGGCAGCGCGGAGCCCGTCCGGGCCACGGCCATGTGCTCCGGCGCTGCGGTTGACAGGCGCAGGGGGGCAGCGCCCGGCTCTC